ACTCCCTCTCCCAAGTCAAGAGTCGGAGAGTTCAATTGAGGTTCTCAACTAGTGGTGCCAAAGGTGTCGGACAACTCTGGGTCATACACCCTCTTGCACACACTTCAAAGAAACACAATGCGAGCCAACACAAGAAAGATTCACAATCAACAATGCAAAAAGTAAAAGCTAGATTAACACCAAACGACTCCAAAAACTTGACTTGCTACTACAATACCGCAGATTAAAATCGCAACTATATCCTAAGTATAAACTCAAGTCGGGTGTAGTATAGAGCAAGTATTTAAACGTCAAACCCGGGCCGGTCCATGTACCTCCTACATCAATCATTTGAAACATTATCTAGCAATCAATTTTTAGTGCAAACTGTGGATTACAGTTGAAATCAAGTGAAAAGGTAAATGATTTTGAACACTATATGAGAAAGCATCACCTGGGTGTTGCTCCCCCTAGCCACATATCAAGATTAATAAAAAATAATTTAAGTGTATGGAAAGGTGGTTGTAAGTATGAGGGAGAAACTAGTGAAGAAGCTTCACTCTCTCGATCGATAGGCCAAGGGATGTCAAATCAAGCTAACGAATTAGCTCTCTTAGCCAATCGAGTAAGGGTTGCCAAGGTTTCTCTGTCAGACCTTAATCCGGACGGCTACACAACAACCAACTCAAAGCATTAAAATGCGGTATGAGGTTTGGCCTAATTTGGCCTAAGTAGGTGGCTCAATTTGGCCAAGGAATTCCACCTTATAAAAAGCCTCTAAGCAAGAAGGGGGTTTCCCTCTACCTAGGTCAAAATGGCATAATCATGAGAAATAGAGAACACAACTCAAACCTTCTGAAAAATACCTCAGTACTTGCATTAAAACACAAACCACACAGAAAACATTCAATTCATACAACCTATCACATAGTTCTAGCTAGGGTTTACAACACCCAAGTGAAAGAAGGGAAGTACTCCATGTCTGGACTAGGGAATACACAAAAGAAAAGAGAAAATACCATCAAGAGATGTTTGCCTTCTTACTTTAGTGTAGAAATCAACCTTGGTGGATGAGATTCCCAAATCTTGAAGCTTGGAGGAAACCCTAGCTTTCTTCTCCTCTCTTATTTGTCACACTCTCTCTAAAATATGAGGAAGAAGATGCAATTCTCTCACTAGGATCTACCTTCTCTTTCAGCTCCCTTCTCCTTAAATACCCAGATCGCGCATGTTTCACGATCCCTGGTCACGATCATTAACTTGAAACGTGGACCGTGATCTCGAAAAAAATGCATCGTATCATTTAACATCTTCACAGTTGGGGGTGGATTATCATGATCGAGTGACCGTGATGTCGTTTACACCTGCAAGGCACAAAAAATTCTTTGGTCTCCTTGCTCTTCATGTTTTGGGCTCCATTATCACGGCCGGCGTGACCGTGAGAACTGGCTTCAACGGTGATCCTCACCTTTTTGCCTTATTTGATCCATTTTCACCCCCTTTCGTCCAACTTTTGCTCCCGAGACCAATTCCAACTTCTAGGATCTGAAACAGACTCGAAACAAGCACACCCTCGTAAAATCAAACCTCGTCTGAAAATGTCTCGAACACCTCAAGAATATGGGGAGAAAACATGTGTAATTGGACCCGAATCACCATGCTGGGAAATCGACTCTGATTCTGCTCTAAAATTTACATACTCGTTCCCAATTCCACGATTCCATAGGCTTTGACGGTTCCTCGTTTGGACGTCAAACGATAAAGTTATGGACAAAAATTAGAATTATGTCAGTTTCCAAAGTACCAGGTACCAAATCTATAATTTTGCAAGTCAGCACTATTGACCCTGAACCTTTTAGAAAATTACGTATTCTAACCTCTAACTTTTTGAATTACCAAGAATGGTACCTGAACTTGACAGATTTTTGTCCAAACTTCGAAGGCTCGGTTCTCCCTCGTTCGACGTTGGAATGTGATTTTGTCGACAAAGTGACGATCCTGGGACTGCCCTCTTCGCAACCGTATCCTCCTTTTGAAGCTTGGCTGAACTTGGTTTTTTTCCAGATTTCGGCGACCCTCTAACGAAGCTACGACAGTTTCTGACAAGCCTCTAACAAGCTTAAAAATGAATTCTGACTCCGTGGAACGATTTCCGACCTTCTCCCAACCAAGACCTGGTGCTCGGAATCCTTCCTTTCCTTATTTTCCAATTTACTCTCTTTCTCCTTTCTTATCGGGCGTAAAGCAAAACGATGGTGGAGGCGAGGCTGACCGGGGTTGTTCGCTTGTCGATCGCGGGGAGGAGGAGACGAGAGTTTGTACTGCTGCTGCTCGCCGCTGATCTTGCACTCGCCGCCGCTGCATCCATTCTACTTCTGCTTCTGGAGAAATAATAACGAGAATGGTGGGAAAATAATCAGCAATGGTGGGGCATGGGTTTCATTGGGTGGGGAATTACATGGAGGCAGCTCAGCCTCTTGGCGAATATTATTATTTTTTCTTTTAATAATATTAATATACTTTATATTATTATTATTATTATTATTATTATTATTAATTAACCCAAGATTGCAGCCCTTCGTACGAACCATCAATCCAATCGTTCATTAGTTATGGTCGAACCTGAACCCAAAAGTCGGGGTGTTACATTTTCTCCACCCTTATAAAAGTTTTGTCCGAGAAATTGGAACTAATCCTTCTGTTAACACCATTCTTGTACTTCGTTAGTAACCTTTGCTCCTCCCATATAGTTCACTCATCTAGTAATGATCCCCACCTAACTTTGTATGGTTCGTGGTCCAACTCATTTAGTAGTTGGTTTTTGAATCTAGATCCAAATCGAGGTAACACATTTCCTCCCCACTTATAGAAATTTCACCCTCGAAATTTGTCCATTGTGGCTACTTCCAACCTTGCTTATGGTAATCCTTTTTACTACGAGGATTGAACCTCCTTAACCTGTAGGGCATTGAGCTACGAATCCTTCCCTCCCATTCGATATGATTATAGTAGATTAGTAGATCAACCATTTCCCATAGACAACTTGCTCAACTAGCTATTAGCTCGATACAACTATTAAAGTCTCCATTCGTAGACAACTTCAAAGTTGTGCTTTCTCAAACCATCCTGTGATCATCGAGTATCCTTAAGGTCCCCACCTACAATTCCCTAAGCAACTTCATTTAATAATTCATCAATATTGGAACTATGATGCTCTACTCATCACGACTGTTGATGCTTCTCTTTGAACTCCATGGCATAATCGTCCATGGGAGCGGTCGATCTGCTTGCTAATATCTGGTTTATTTGATGGATTCTTACCCCTTTGCCTCGTCTATGTACTTCAAACGTATGTAGGGCATACCCTATTTCCATCATTTCGTACATAAGCAATAAATGCCCCCTTCAAACCCCAAGGTTACGGGTGGCAACTTGTACTTCTCCTTGTAAGTTTGTAAAGCTCATATAACTCTTGTCCATGGTTGACCACGTGGATCTCCAGGTCCTTGTACATTCTAACTTTGCATCTCTTACTTCCCTCCTTTAATACTCCGTCTTTGCCTCAAATCGTCAAATCTAATGGTCCTATCCTTGATGACTATTTCACATGGTTACAGTCCTCTTTTTAGTACTTTTACCTTTCGTAATGCATCTAGGATGTGTTTTCATACCTCTATTATGTGTCTCGTAGTTTAGATACTCTTTCCATTTAGGATAGACAACCCAGGCAATAGGTTCGCACCTTTAGGGTTGCTGGCCTCCCCTATCATTAACATCTTTTTAATCTCCTCGGTTCGGCCTACCCTACTTGTATACCAACTTTCCCAAATCACGTGTCCAAGAAAATCATAAGGCCCCGAAAAGCCCATTATTTTAGCTAAATTCATTTCATTAGCTCCTTGTAGGTGACATAGTGGCTAGCTCGCAGGTTCTTCTCCTTGTACTTACTACCGCCGTCCAGTATGCTCGGTTGGAACTCTGATATCTTCCCCTTACGCTTTGGGTATGTAAGGATCAAACTTTTTCTATACATCACTTTGTCTTACTTTACTTTGATACTTTTCCTTGCTATTTTAAGCATTTCGCTTGGTGTAGCACTTTAGGTTCCAATATGTCTTTCCTCCCTTAAATTCCTTGACCTGTAAGATTTCCATCCCAGACATATCGAGACAAGCTTACTTCCACCTTAAAGTTGACCACTGAGCTTCTCAGTTCTTGATGGGCTCCTATGGTCCAACTTTTTCTCCACAGGCAATCACCTTCACGCCACTTGTTGTCCTTCCTATCTTTTCTTCGGCCCTTCCTATCTATCATTCTCCCTGAATCCATTGTCCTGTTGACAACGACCTTTTTACTATCTTTCATTATAAATTAGTGGTGCCCTCCTTACCACCTTATCTCCACAGCTCCTTCATAGATACTTGGTACTAGCTTTGATATCCGAACTCAGTTCAGTAGCTTCTCCTCATTCCTCAGAGTCAACATTTCTACTAGAAACTTGATCTAGGTATACTTGATACATGACACCCATGTGTTGGGATATGGATTTATATGCCTACACGACTATAAACGGGTCCAAGCCCACCGCAAGACGTCCCGGGCCCAAGCTCACATAAGGGGGTCCAAGCCCTATATAAGGAGGCCATAGCCTCCAAGCCAAAGATCCTCTCTTCCCTTCCCACACTCTTATCTTAAGGTCCCTCTCTAAACTCTCTCTCACTCTCTACATATCATAAACCGCTTCCTATATCGTACTAACTTGGGCATCGGAGCGTAGATCCCGGGGGCCGCCCCCCGCCTCACATGTTCTTCCACTCTCGAAGAAATCAGACAAAGGAGTCCAGATTGGAGTCCCATAACCGCCTAGTACATTCTAGGCTCAAACAATTGGCGCCAACCGTGGGGCCAAGATTCTGACACTCCTTTCATTTGATTTCCGAAAGAGGGGATGAGACCAAACCTCTACCAATGACAACCAGCGGCAACAAGCTCCAGTCTCAGATCTGCACCAACCGCCAGCCATGTTCCCGGTGTATCTCCTCCACCATCAAAGCTCGTCGTCGGCAATGATCTTTATAGACCATCAAAGCGCGCCAACAGCTTCCCCTTTGGTACAATTCTCGTCGGCTGGCATCGTCGTCACCAGTCACTGCCAGCTGCTTGACGGCAACCAGCTTCAGCAATCACAACAACCAGAGTCCATCCTTCCTCCTCGAAGACAAGCAACTTAGAAGGCGAGCAGCAACAGAAGAAAAGAAAAAAAAAAAAAAAAAACTTAGCCGCCAGCGACAAGTCGATGTAGGAACTCCGACGACGAAAGAAAGAAGGGTCGCCGCAGTCACCATCACGCCGCTCCAGTCACGTCAGCTATTCTTGAAAAAGTAAATAGGAAAGCCATCTCATGTCACTTTCTCTATGTCAGAAGAAAGAAGGCGGACGACGTTCCCGAGGTAAGCGAGTTATTGAGGACTGCATCTGGAAATGCACTAACAACAGGAGACGCAAAGCAAAGCAGAAGCGGAAAGAACGCATTCGAAGAAGGATGTTCTGCACTGGAAATCGAATCGACAAAAAGAATTAAAGAAGACATCACACCAAACATCCGTGGGAAGAAGGGAGCGCATTGCAAGCGATAAAAGAATCGGAGGCAAAAACGCCAAAGAAAAAGGAAAACCCACCAATCCGAGGCGGTCAACGGAAAAAGGAAACACAAAGGAAAGCGCCGAAGGAAGCAGAGGAGCGTTATTCCAAATTGAAACCCAAAAAGAAATTAAGAGCTATCCAAGGAATAAAACCCCAAAAGAAATCGGAAAAGAGAACGCCAATGAAGATAAGCGACAAGCTGTCCATAAGGAATTAAGGAAATAAAAGTGAGAAAGACTAAGCGGTCGGCAGTCGACACCGTCAAAGAAAACAATCTCCCCACCGCCGAAATCCACCACCAGCTCTCTTGAGCCCAAAATCAAGTCCAAGGCATCTCACCAGCATGACTGGGCCGCAGAAAGGCTAAAGTAAGCCCACTCTTCTCAAGGGTGCCCGCCCTTCAATTAGACCGCCAGTTGGGTCCATTATGCCCGCATGCGCAACTAGGTCTATTATACCTGCTCCGCGTCTAAACCGGACTTCCTCACAAGCCTAATACATGTCCTCCTCCCATCAGGCCTATGACCACTTTCAGCCCATACGCGGCCCGCCACATCATCATGACCGCAAGTCTCGGGTCTCCCAAGGCGGTCCCGCCTCGCGTAGAATGGGTCGTCTTCAAAATCCTCGTTGTGCATCCATCCCACCAAGAATACAAAGATCAGCATCTAAACCGGACTTCGTCACAAGCCCAATACATGTCCTCGTCCCATCAGGTCCAGGACCGCCTCCAGCCCATACGTGGCTTGCCACATCATCAAGACCGCAAGTCTCAGGTCTCCCAAGGCGGTCCCACCTCACGTAGAATGGGTCGTCTTCAAAATCCTCGTTGTGCGTCCAGTTCGACTCCAAATGGCCGCTCTACCTACCAACCGCACAATGCAGGCTCGCCACGCATCGCACGAGCCCACTCGCTGTCAAAACCCGCTCCACCTCCTTGCACAATGTAGGCCCGCCACGCTTCGCACGAGCCCGCTCGCTGTCAAAGCCCGCTCCACCTCCTTCAATTGTGCAACGCGGGCCCGTCTCCAACTTTCGGCCCGCAAGTCGTCATTGAAGCCTAAATGAGCCACCTCCCATTGAGAACAGCTATCAAAAGCCCACCCACAGGAGCAGTTCAATTAAACTAAAGCGGCCCGCAAGTCGTCATTGAAGCCCAAATGAGCCGCCTCCCATTGAGAACGGCTATCGAAAGCCCACCAGTCAGGAGCAATTCAATTAAACAAAAAAGGAAACGCCTTCACCATGATTTGAACTTTTGCGCTCCTCTTCTCTAAGACGGCCGCCAACCGCTACGCCACAAGCACTCCTTGCGTTTCAGTGTGCAACGCCTCCTATTAACATTTTCATGTTGCCTCTCCCACAAACAAGCTAAGTATATTCATCAACAATATATATTAGATATCATGCCATGTTATACCACAAGATGAAGATCATCATTACCACCAAGATATTTTCCACATCATGCTATGTTTATTTATGCTATGAGAATATTAGGCACTAGCACCCCTTGCTATATCTATCAAATCTGCCTCCAAGCGATGCTCCCTCCGAGGAATGCTTCCCGCCTCTGAGCGACAGTCCCTCCGGATAATGCTTCCCGCTTTCGAGCTATGCTCCCTCCAGGAACGATTCATGCATTCCGCCTCCTGGCAACGCTCCAAAACCGCCTATGAGCTATACTCCCTCTGAATAATACTTACACCTCCAAGCCATGCTCCCAATGAGGAAAGAAAGCATAAATTCTAAAGCACTTCTGAGAAGTGGAAAACTAAAGTGCTTCCCAAGAAGCCGAATAGCAATATGCTTCCCAGGAAGCAAAAGAGCAATGCGCTTCCCAGGAAGCCGAAGGAGAACCGCGCTTCTCAGGAAGTCAAAGTAATAAGTTTCCTCGAAAGCTAAAGACTAAGCGCTTCTCAGAAAGCCAAAATACTAAGACACTTCCAAGGAAGCAGAAAGACTAACGACACTCCTTTGAAAGAAAGAAAGAAAGAAAAAACATCAAAATTCCAAGTAAGCTATAAGGAAGAACGCCTCTCAAAGGCCTGGAAAGTAGAACGCCTCTCGGTAGGCGAAAAGAAAGAACCAGCAAGCTAGAAGATGAAACGCCTCCTAGTAGCAGGCAACATCAGTAGGAAGAGAATAATTGATCTCGCCTAACACAGGCAAGACATCGACAAGACACATGACCTCCTGACACACATGGACGCGACATTGGTGACACACAAAACAAGAGCATCTTGAGTTAAAACTCTCAAGACGTGGAGGCCACCCTACATAGGTCGCAATTATGGCCTACTAACGCTAACAACAATGGACTAGCGAAGGAACTCTTAACGACTTGAGAGCTTTGGTTCAAGCCATCGAAAGCTAAGCAAGGGGCAAAGGAAATGATAACGCAACTTGCAAAAGGGGCAAACCGCATTATCCAGAATCGCAAGTAAGGAAATTAATACACGATTAACGCATTATGTTACTCCTTCCATTCTTACATAATACAAGAAGTAAAGGGGAAATTGTTGGGATATGGATTAATATGCCTACACGACTATAAACGGGTCCAAGCACACCGCAAGACGTCCCGGGCCCAAGCCCACTTAAGGGGGCCCAAGTCCTATATAAGGAGGCCATAGCATCCAAGCCAAAGATCCTCTCTTACCTTCCCACACTCTTATCTCAAGGTCTCTCTCTAAACTCTCTCTCTCTCTCTCTACATACCATAAACCGCTTCCTATATCATACTAACTTGGGCGTTGGAGCTAGATCCCGGGGGCCGCCCCTCGCCTCACAGGTTCTTCCACTCTCGAAGAAATCAGACGAAGGAGTCCAGATCGGAGTCCCATAACCGCCTAGTATATTCTATGCTCAAACACCACGACTTCTACTCAAGATGATGTTGGACCACGACCTTAACCTCTTAGCTCAGGTTCTTAGTGGCTTAACTAAATGAAATGACTCATCCTTAACTAGCAGCCTCCTCCTAATGGCATTTTACCATGTTGTACCCACTTAAAGTGGGGCACTTTGGATAAAGTAACTTATCGCGCTCCTCTTGCTTGGGAATGCTTTCCTCATCATATTCTTTTGTGCACTTCCTTGAGCTCAATCTATTTTCCCTCATTCCAACTGCTTGTTCAGGGACTTCATGTCCTCCCACTCTTCATACCCTCCCCAAGGTTACTAATGTCTCTTCCCTCGTTACGGCCTTGAAATGGCTTCTTTAGACTTGTCCACTAGACTCCATGGAATGAGATTGAACTTCCTCTTACCTTCCCACTCTATCCATGTATGCTACTTAGGTCCTCCTTATTGTGTCCCTTGTAATTCCTCCTCGTGCCTCGGCTTAGTTGGCACCACCCCTAGTCTTGCTTGTTTAAACCTAGCTACCCTCACAATGGATGCCCCTCAACTTGGGTGTTTGACTACCAGTAGACGTGTCACCATTCGGTCACTTATTTAAACTTGGATAATGGAGACCGTGGAAATCGTCACCATTCGGCTCCTCGCCTATCTCGCTATCGCGGAACGTATTTCCATCCGATAGGAATCCCTCGCATACCTTATCCTCTAGGTTGCACTTATTAACTACATAGTGTGCTTGCTCCCTCCTCGTTCTTTAAATCGTTAATCTCAATGGTTGACTCTTTCCTTTCAATGACTTTCCACCAACCTAGTTTCCAAGATCCACGATTCCTCTTCTTAGGGACGTACTGTATCCCTAAAGGATTCCCTAGTCGATTTAAGTACAGAATGTACCTCCTCCTAGCCTTGACTCATTGATCCCTTGAAATCATGTCAGGCTTCTATGACCTACTTAATTCCTCCTTTGCTTTGCTTATATGCCCCTAGTGTTTCTTAAAGTCTAACCTCCAGTACTCCTTGGGTCGTAGCCCTACGCCCGATTCTCACAAACTCAACGAAACTTCCTTGCATCCTTTCTTCCAAATTATGACTGCCATTTGCCTTAATTCCTTGGCTACTATTTGTCGACGTACTAGGTACTTGGCATCTTCCTGAACCTTATTCTGATCAGCTCGCATCCCCGTAGGGTATGAGCTTCCTTCAACCTCCTCTTCTCACTCATCGAAAGGGTTTTCACTAAACGATCCTCTTACGAATCAGCTCCTCTCCTTCCTGAGACGTATAAATCATCGCCATCCATGACATTTCTAAGAAAGAAGGCAACATAGATGATTACATCGAGGAGGATTGAGTGCATGTCATCCAGGGCCTATGTTTCTATATTTTATTTTCTTGGATTTTATTTTATTTTAAATTAAACAATGTCTAATTATTGCTTTTAAACTTCTTTATTTTGTTTTTGTTCTTTAAAGATTCTAGTATTATTAGCAGCATATTTAATTATTTGTTTATGTTTATCATACTTTTGTTCAATAACCTTTTATCTCTCTTTGTTATGTGTTTTATTGTTGTGAAAACTACCAGGAAGAACGAGACCTACACTTTTGTACCTTCACTAGCTCACAAAACAACCTATGGAAACCCCTTTTGATCTTACCTTTTAAACTTCCACATTGAGGACAATGTGTTTATCAAGTGTAAGGGGAATGTGTGCATGAATGTTTGAATGATCATTATGTTGAGTATGCCATGAATCGTAGTAGCCTCACTTGATTATGAATGTAAGACATTGATGATTGCTTATGTAACACCCCGACTTTTTGGTTTAGGTTCGACCATAACTAATGAACGATTGGATTGACGGTTACGTACTAAGGGTTACAACCGTGGGTTAATTAATAATATAAACTATATTATTATTATGTTTATTTATAATAATAATAATAATAATATTCGGCCAAGACGCCGAGCAGCCTCCATGTAATTCCCCATCCCACGAAACCCTTTTTCCCCACAAGAAAAACCCCACCCCATCACCGCTGATTATTTCCCCACCCCTCTCGTTATTATTTCTCCAGCAGCGGAAGTAGAAGCGACGCAACGGTGGCGAACAGCACCTGCTGGAACTCCTGTCTCCTCCTCCCCGCGATTGCCAGCGCTCGGCAAGTGAACAACCCCGGCTGGCCTCGGCTCCATCATCGTTCTTGCTTCACGTCTGAGAAGAAAAGAGAAAGAGAGTGAATCTGGAAAAAAGTAAATGAAGGAATTCGAGCACCGGGTCTTTGTCGGGAGAAGGTCGGAAATCGTTTCACGGATTCGGAATCCATTTTTAAACTTGTTAGAAGCCTCGTCGGAGTTTCGTCGGAGGGTCGCCAAAATCTGGCAAAATACCAAGTTCAACCAAACTTCGAAAGGAGGATGCGGTTGCAAAGAGGGCAATTCAAGGATCGTCAACGTGTCGATGAAATCGAATTCCGATGTTGGACGAGGTAGAACCGAGCCTCCAAAGTTTGGACGAAAATCTTTCAAGTTCAGGTTCCATTCTTGGTAATTAAAAAATTTAGATGATTAAATACGTAATTTTCCAGAAGGTTCAGTGTCAATAGTTTTGACTTGGAAAATTACAGATTTGATACATGATACTTTGGAAACTGACATAATTCTTATTTTTGTCCATAACATGTTCGTTCGACGTCCGAATAAGGAACCGTCGATGCCTATGGAATTGTGGAAGCGAGGAAAATATTTTGGGAACGAGTATGGAAAATATCTCTATTGTGGTCTTTTTAGTTTATGCTTTTCATTTCAAGTTATTATTGTTAGTTAATTTTATAAGTATGCGCGATTATGTGTGAGGCATCCCACTGCCTATTTAGGTTGGAGGCACGCGTTGTGCTATGTATGTGAATTTATGTTTGTAATGTATGGATGATGGTGTTAAAGTAAGGGAACCCCCGGGTGGTTGGACCACTACTGGACACGGTAGATTGTCAGATCACTGCTGGACGGCGATACGTAACGCATCAGTTGATCGAGGATATTGGACACTACTGGACGGTGATACAAAACGCAGCAATTGATCGAAGATATTGGGTCACTACTGGACGGAGATACATAACGCGACAGTTGACCAAGCATGGGCTAGACGACGAGACGTAATGCAACACCATTGCCAAGTATGTATGCAACCAGACGACGATACGTAACGCGGTTGGAACACCAAGGTAGGGACACCGAACGGCGAGACATAACACGATGGACCATAGTATTATGTGTGTAAGTTAAGATAGTGGTGGAGAACTTCTATAAGTTAAGATAGAAGTAGAGAACTTCTATGAGTTAAGAATATAAGTCGATAACTTCTATGAGTTAACTTTGGAATATGTTATTGAGGATGAAAGCGAGGATACTTTCATCTAAGGAAAGCGAACCCTAATAATGTGTTTCAGTAAGGAGTTTGATTAGGGCAAATACCTTAGGAAGTAACAATGAGACTGACCCCTTCTCACTCACTAGGTTGAGGAAGGGTTAGCAGAGGTGGATCCCGAGAAGAGGCAGTGCGTGGCGAGCAGCCGCACCAACATTGACGAGATGTTAAAGAGTCCAACAAGGAGCTAGAGTTAGATTTAATAGTTATATTATGTTTACGATCATGAGTATAAACTGGAGGTTCAAGGTTCAAAGGTTAAGTTTTTTTTACTATGGATTGAGGTTGCCCAAGTGTTTAGGGCATTTTGTTTGAAAATGATTTTGTTGTATTCGTTTTGATGAAATTTTGAGTATTGTTTTTAATCGCCTCCGGAGCCATGGTTATTTCGGTTTAGTCAAAATGATCGAGACGTTCATTTTGGTATCAAAGCCTGGTTTTCCTTTGTTTCTTGGTTTCCAAGAAATACTATAGTGACGATCTGGGTGTTTTCAAGGTTTTTGTTTTAAAAGGAGCGGAAAAAGGGGTCTGATGTTAAAGGTTTCACTATGTGAGTCAAATGGCATTTTTTTCGATGAGAGTTGCTATTTGCGATGCACGACACCCGAAGGATGATGCTCCTTCATTTGATGTAAGAGGGTCCATCTTGATGTTGAGGATGAGGTGCCCATGGTGCTATCTATCCCTTTACTTTTTTCCTTCCTATGAATACTTCAGTAAGTTGCATATTAGAAAGATACTCTACCATGAGTAGTTGAGTTTATCTCAGCACCATAAGTTGCTTTCTTCCAAATCCATCCCAGAGTGTCTTGCAAGCCTAGTGACAAAGAATCCTTCGTGGTCTTGACCTTCGAGTTGGTTATATTCTTTTAAATGGTCTTCATGATCACAAATCCAAGATGGATTCGAGGTTCGTAAATTTGGAACATAGGAGGTTGAAGTTGAGGTCTCGCTTTGTTAGATAACTGGCACTTTTCTCCTTTGGTGCGACGGTGTAGGAGATTATGTTATGAATAATCCGCCACTCTAACTAGAGGGAATAATTTTTGTCGATGCTCGATCAAAACGTTCTTGATGAGCTTTGCTTGTCAATTCCTTGATAAAGAACTCTTCCGGGCGACTGCATGTGGCCAATTCTTCACCTTGTAGAGCTCGCTCTTCCGCTGAATATAAGAATCCAAGGGGACAGATTCCCATATCCTTAGTAAATTCATTGAAGCTCATTTTCCTTGGTTCCCCTCCGAGTGAAAAGGTGATTGTATTGGCAAAGTCGCGATTTAACACTAAGGATGGGGCATCTAAGGGTTGTCAGGAACTCGAGCACACACTCTGTATAAATATTCTCATCCATGATTAGAAGTGCTTGCCATGTCTGGTCTTTGTTGAAAGACTATATAGGGGCTGCAAATCCTAGTTCTTCAATAATTCCCCATTTGAAGCAATGATGTTCCCAGTAGGTATGAGCAGCAAAATGAATAAATTTTGCTTTATCTTTCCCTATGAACTACAAATAGGGATGGAGAGTCCTTTATTACGTGTACTTCAATACACGTTTCATTCCTTGTGTAAGAAATCACTCAATTCCTTACACAAGAGGTCTAGGTCGAGTCTTTCCTTGTTTGAAAGAAATCACCCAATTCCTTTCATCGATCTCACCTTGCCTCTCTATCTGCATCCTTCGGATGCTCCCATTCAAGTTTTCGTTGGTGATCTCCTCACCGCATGAATTACGGAGAGTGGTCTGCGGAAATCTCCAACGCGTTAATCGCCAAGAAAAAACTTGTGTTTGTCCTTGGTACCATTCCTCGACCAGACTCCGGTGATAAGCTCAATGCCTGGACGCGCTGCAATGCCATGGTTGTTGGATGGTTGCGAAGTGCGATGACCAGTGAACTGCGCAGCATCCTGAGTACCGATTTCACATCCCAACAAATTTGGGACGAACTCAAGGAGCGCTTCAGCACAGGCAATCTTCATCGACGTTACAAGATTCGCCGTGAAATCACCAGCCTCCGTCAAGATCGCTCTTCTGTCTCGAGTGTCTATTCCAAACTCAAACGCTTCTAGGACAATTGGCTCACTATCGATCCTCCTCCAACATGTACGTGCGGCAAGTGCGAATGTGGAGTAGAATATCACACTCGTTGCTTCCACGAGGCCATGCGTCTCCTCGACTTTCTTGTTGGCCTTGACAATGGGTTTGCTGCTGCCCGTACCCACTTCCTTTCCTTGAAGCCTATACCCTCATTGGGAGAAGCCTATCATGCGGTCGCCAACGGCGAGTTGTAGTGCAATCTCTCCGCTGATCTCCGTCCTCGTACCTAAGTTGTTGCCTTTCAGGGCAAGGGGGAGAAAACTCATCCTGATGAGCGCACTCTTGAGGGTTGACCATTCTGCACCCACTACGAAAAGCCGGGACACTTCAAATCCACATTCTATGAGCTTATAGGGTGGTTGACCCGTACTCAAGACAAACCTGAAAGAGTAGAACGTTATCACGGCATCGTCGTTGCAACTCCAACAAGTAATCTCATCTAGATCCTCAAGTTGATGCTGTTGAGGGAAATCTCGAGTCACCGATCCCTGGTCTGTTGTAGGCACAAGTTCAGGAGCTTCGTGCCTTCTTCTCAGCCTCTCCGAATCCCAAGAGCAATCTAACGGGAAAGAGTCTTTCCTTTCAAGATACATGGGTTATTGATTCTGGTTGCAATGAACATATTGCTAAATCAAAATCTTTGTTTGTCGGTTAGTTGGAGGCTCATTCTCCTTTACAAGTTACAATCCCTAACGGTAAAGGGGTTCTCGTTCATGGAATTGGCACGTCTAAACTCTCCAATGGATTAGTTCTTCGTCGTATCTTATATGTTTCGGGCTTTTAGTGCAACCTATTATCTGTCAGCCGCTTCATAATCGATCATTCAATGGCAGTGGTTTTCATGAGTAATTTCTGTGTTATCTAGGACTTACACTCAAAGAGGATGATTGAGATGGGTAGCACATTGATGGACTGTACTACCTCCGCGTTTTCGATTGTGCTCATCTTGTTGCCTTCAACACGCACAAACCAGCCCGAGAGTCTTCCATATGGCATGCACGACTTGGTCACCCTTCATCAGCCAAGCTTTCGACGTTTCATTCGTATATTTCCTGTGTTTTAGTTTCGGATAAGGATCCATGTCCTTCTTGTCTTCAAGCCAAGTAAACTCAGCTCCCAATGGATCACATTATTTTCTTACAATCGTGGATGATTATAGCAGAGCACTTTGGTTTATTTATTGAAATACAAGTCTGAAGTTGCTCGTTATCTGCTGCTTTTCTTCAACCAAGTTCCCACCCAGTACGATGGGCCGATGAAACGTGTGCAAAGTGACAATGGCCGTGATTTTAGTGTTCCTATGTTACAAGATTATTACGAGAAAGAAGGCATCATACTTCAAACTTCCTATACCGATACGCCTCAATAGAATGGCGTAGTAGAGAGGAAGCATCGACACTTATTAGACACTGTTCGAGCACTCCATTTTCATTCTAGCCTGCCAACTCGATTTTGGGGAGAATGCGTTCTTACCATAGCTTACTTTATCAACAGGCTTCCATTAACTTATATTCATAATCGAACGCCCCATGAGGTCTTATTGGGGAGGTCGCCTAAATACGAGCATCTTTGGAGTTTTGGTTGTCTCTTGTATGCGAAGGATAATCATCCACGCGTCTCCAAGTTCATACCACGAGGACAGCCAGGTGTCTTCATTGGCTATCCTTCTTCTCAACGTGATTATAGGGTCTATGATCTCGTGAATCAACAGATTTATACATCACGAGATGTATTCTTCTTGGAGGATACCTTTCCTTTCTGCAAAGGTATAACGAGTATAGGGAAATTCTCTAGATTCCCCATTTCATATGAATGCGCTGATGGTGATCATACTCTATGCATGTCTCCTCACATGGACGATCCTTCGGCCTCCTTATCTTCACTTGTCGTGGCTGAAGTAGATCCACCTCCTTCGACTTTGACTCTTCCAGTTCCCACGTCCCATGTCAAGGACGTTGTTGATCTATCTACATCTCCAGTTCAGGAAACCGTCGATGTCTCGACCTCGTCGTCAACTGGGGCATCCATTGAGGATCCTTCTTCTGGTCAATTGGCTTCATCCTCAGATGAACATACTATATTTCGTCCCCTATCTTGGACCAACCTCCTGCTCCTCCATGCCATAATGATCGTGTCTCAAAACTTTCACCACGTCTTGAGGGATATGAGATACACATTTCTGGCTGAGCATATCACTCTCAAGTTCGCTATCCTCTAGAGCAGTACGTTGCGTATGGTTACCTTTCTAAGTCTCATCGAGCTTACCTAACAGTTGTAAGTCACACTTCCAAGCCTCGCTATTTTCCGCAGGCAGTACGGTACAAGGCATTGCGTGATGCCATGCGAGCTAATATACAGGCCCTCCTGGCTAATGGCACCTGGAAGCTCACTTATTTACCACCTAGGAAGCGTGACACTGCGTCAAAATGGGTTTATAAAATCAAGTATCTACCTACTGGCGATATTGAGCGATTCAAGGCTCGACTGGTTGCTAAGGGTTACACCCATATTGAAGGTATTGACTATCACGATACGTTTGCTCCGGTGGCTAAGCCCGGTGACATGCGAAAACACAACACCAAACTGCGACTAAGTGCAATTGCAGAATCGAAATGCATAATAGTGGCAAGTTCAATATATCATCCCTGGGTCTAGATCTACTTCCTACTCTGTGACTACCTGTTATCTAGCTAGACTAAGTGTAGTGAGAGTTATTGCAAACAAAAGCAGTAAGAAAGCAGGAAATGGTTCGAAGTTCAGCAAGGGAAGAGTCACTCGGGAATGAGTCCCCCTAGCTCCTTAGTTAGGTCAAAATTGTAATTTCCTTTGGTTGATTAAACTGCGGAAGATCCGACAGTAGCTTGGAATCTCTTAAGCTGACCAAGCCCTCTCAAACAGACAATGCGGCAGACGACTAGTCTTCACCGAGATAGAACGCTGAGGCAATTAACACATAACTCCACTACTGGAATTGGATTCTAGTACAAAGCAGTGAATCGACTAACTCACGTATAATCGATTCACTACTACCAATTGAAGAAGCTCTAACAACTTAATCAGATTCTATCTATCTCAGGTTGTAGCAGAAATCAAGAAAAGTTGATGAAACTTCAATTGACTCAATGAATCATGCATCGATTGATTATAACCAAACAAGATATAAATCCAAAATTCATTACAATCAATATCCCTAACACATGGAACTAGGGTGCTACATACCCAAGTGAGAGAAAGTTCTACTCCATAGAGAGAGAGAGAGGGAAATGGAATAGAAAGCAATCATACTCTTAATGATGGGAAGAATCTGATTTGGGATGATAATCTTCACTCCAAGGATGAAATCCAAGCTTGATTGATGAAACCCAGCTCCAAAATCACTCATAGGGTTTGTTCTTCGCAATTTCTCTCTCTAAGACTCTGTTTTTGCTCTGGAAAATTGTCCTTCTCCACAGCTGCCCGTGTGAAATCCCAAAACACGATGTTTTGATTAAGTAACTCAATGTACGCTACACGGCCATAGCCGCACGGGCAAGTAGAAATATTGCATGTTCGTGTGAAATCTATGGAAATCCCACACGGCCAAAAAGGGCTCTTACACGGCCAGTGTGGCTTTGCCCGTGCAAAGGGGTTCCACACGGCCAAGTCACACGACTGTCTGAAATTTAGGTCAGGCCGTGTGGTTTCCTCAGCTTTTCATCAAACGTCCCAACTTCGTCCAATCGACCCCGAACTAGTATCCAAACCTTCAATCACGTACTAGGACCTGAAATATCACAAACAAGAACAATCTAGCTTGAAATCGGCTTAAAACACCAGAAATGAGACTCAAACGGTATAAGAATGGTGGATAAGAACATGTGTATATATTGAGTCAACAAATTCCTCCACACTTAACCGTTTGCTTGTCCCCAAGCAAACCTGACTCAAACAATGCAGCTCTCTATACCTCTATAGCAACGTGCACCCCCGATCGTCGGCAAAGGATTTCCTAGAGCATTTAGTAACTTACTAGGTCAACTGGTCTTCTAAGACGTCCTCGATCTCTCTCAATGCGAGTAATAGACTCAAGCCAGGATCATGATAAGCAGTGAAACTAAGATAGCCAATTCATGGATAAAGAGACTCACACAATTCAACAACCAAGGATTATTTGTAGCAGGTGCTCTTTCATTTCATTTCACTTGTTGGAACCCCTTCTTCTTACTATTCGTTTTTTTTTTTTTACTTTGATGGGGTTCCAACTATAGTTTGTATGCACTGTCTGCCCTTACTAGGTGAGCAAGAGCAATTTCTGTACATCTGTCGCTCGCCAGAGTACTTCTTTTAACTCCTATTCCTCACTTCATGTAGAGGGTCAATGAAATTAAGGGGTGTCAGAAGCTCTATCCGTGCCCTTAAAAACAAATCTTCGAGTAGGGAAACCGTTCAACGGGTGGAAATTTTACTTGTACTAGAGACAACTTAGCTTCACCTTGTAGGCCTACCCCACCAAGGATCACTAAAATCTCTTCCAGAACCCGATTTTTGTGCAATGAACGATGCCAAACACGTTGGGCTTACCCCATGTCTCAAAATTTCAAAGTTTTTGACATGGAGGACCAAATGCTTTTTCATTTCACACATGAACACCCTTTTTAGATACACGAGTCCACAACACAACATAAGAGGAGTCATCAATACCACATGAATCAACGGTCCTAAATCCACTAGTTCACAAAATCAACCAGCACAGTAGAGAGATGGATAGGAAAAATCTTATACTTCAACATCCTCCATAGTGCTACAACTACCTCCCTAGGTTGTATATCACCATAAAGACTGTCAATTCAAAGCATACTGAGCAGGATTTTGCAGGGAATAGTACTTGGAGCCCTCAACTCATCTAGCAGTAAAAAATAGATAAACAACTCCCCCCCCACACACACACTTAAGCACGACATTGCCCTCAATGGAGGAGAGAGAAAGATAAAGGGAATGATGTTATCGGGAAAACAGACTGTTGGGGGATTGGAAATGGACCAGTCATTAGGGATAGACGGAACGATGGAACAGTTCTGCACGATGGGAACACTAATAACACATTAGCACAATGTGCGTTAGGGATCAGTGTCAGCCTAGATGGCACAAAACAAAAATCCACAAAAGAAAAAACACACAAAAGACTCAGTTCAAGCTCCTCACACACATGGAGCAAACATGAAAAATCCAAAACACACAACACACTCGAAGGAGCGACGAGTACAGACTACTCGTCGCCTAGGTCATCGTAGGTGATGTCCTCCATGAATGCATCGTCACCAGCCGACTGGGGTGGAAGGGGAGAGTCCTCCAGACTGGTGGCTCACCCGGTATCAGCTGAAGCAGGTGCTGCTGGACCTACTGCGTCCGACGTGCGCGGGTGCGCTCCCGCTCAATGTGAGCAAGGGTGACCCCCTGCTGGGACTCCATGCGGTCGAGGCGCTCATCATATGCAGCCATTCGGGTGGTATACTCGGCCTAGTGAGCCGAGTACTGCTGCTGGAACTGGAGCTTATGCTCGAGGATCTGCTGGTTCTGAAGACTCGGCTGCTGGAACTGGTGAGAGAAGTAGTCC